GGGTCTCAAAAAATTTCATTATACCTAAACATAAAGATTTATGCTAATTTTTTTTAAATAACAACATATTCAGATTCATGTACCACACAAAAAAGAAATATCAAAACTGTATTGAAACTTGTTCAAAGTATAGAAGTAACAGCTGAGTTAACTGAAATGAAATTTTTGGTATGTTGGCTATTTGCCTAATGATTCAGATTTTGAAATTATCAAGTCACATGCAAAAAACATTCAAAACACTTTTTCGCCAGATGAATGGTTACCAAAAATTGTAAAAAGTAAGTGTCATTTCACATAACCAAATGACTCACCAAGATATTTTTCTCAACAAAACCTTTCGAAAATTCATTCATTAACAGAAAGGTAACCATTAGTACAAGGTTTCCAGTAAATCGGCTTAAAATGCCTTGTATAAAGTTAGAAAGGTCCAACCCCACCTCATACAATTCAAATGTGACTATAATGAAGATTATGAATTTAATGCCATAATATAAGTAAATCTGTTGCAGGTAAACCACAAAGTTTGAAAATGTAGATCAGCCTTTATTATAAAAGGCAGAATTGTGAAAAGGGGAAAAAAGGCGAGATATAATGGAATTGCTAAAATTCTTTCCTCCTATTAAATGTGATTACTATAAAAACTACAGAAAAAAATTGAAATGATGAAACCTCGTACACAGCTGATAAAGTAAACATCATATATATTGATGAATTAATCACAACATATTGTGACAGACCTGATACTATTCATTTTTACAAAAAAAAATTGTAATAAAAATACAGTCAAAAGACTTTAATCCAGATGTCCATAATCCGGAATGATCTATAATCCAGACCTCAAAGCTACAATTATGCGCATGCGTAAATGCATTATGCGTAATGTATGCACGTTTAATGTATAATGGACGGTATAAGCTAAGCTAAAGTTATCTAATTATCTATTACAGTTAATGTTGCAGATTGTGTTGTTCCTTAATCTTCAAATTGGATATGGCTTATTATTTTTTTGCAGACTGTTACAGCAATTTCATAAAAGTAAGCTTGAACTTTTGATTATGTCAAATAGAATTTCCGATTCCTGGAGCTGCCAAAGGATCTACATTGCGAAAGCATGTTTCAATGTCCATCAAACAAAAAGTGGAATTGCTGCAAAAAATGGATAAATGCATATCCTTTGTTTCTCTAGCCATTCCGAAATCTGTTTATCAATTTCGTGCTGCTCTGCAGGGGGGGGGACGTCACGACGTGCAATGAACTGGAAGTTGATCTCTCAGCACTATCCTTATTTTCATGGCAGATGTTTTTATTTTATTTGGCTTATAATTCCTTATTAAATGTAGTATTTCATCTCGATGTGCTCCATCTTTGATATGATTTAAATCAAATTCCTCATCATTATAAATATCACGAATACACATCAAATAGTTTTCTGGTTGCAATTTTGTAATTTCGGCTATGCGTAAAGTATGCTTTACAGCATGCGCGCGTTGGAAAGAAATGTTTAATAAAGTAAACAAATAAATATTAAGCTTTTTTTTTTTTTTTTTTTTTGTTTTTTTGTAAATTTTGATACCTTTTAGATCATAATTGCTCTCTATTTCATAAATTATGGTTTCATATTTTTAATTTTATAATTTATGCATGCCATCTTACCAGATTTAAACTGATGATATATAATCCGGAAAACCGATAATCCGGAATCGCTGAAGTCCCGACGAGTCCGGATTAAAGACTTTTGACTGTATATAATAATTAACTTTTTCTGCGATAAGAAAGGTAACAATTTGAATACTGAATTTAACTCTGCCAAGCAGATATAGTCGTTAGTGACCTTGACTGCCATAGCGATGGGCCGGGTTCAAATCCTGGAGAAGGCATGATTGTAACTGTTTGTCTCTCCACAGAAGGCAATGGTGGCCATCTGTTAGATGCTTTCATAATGAAATGGCCACCACATCTGGCCCTTGTAGTGGTGCACTCAACCATAAAAAAAAAACACAATTTAACTTTATTACTTTTTTCACTTGCCCAGTCAATTTACTCCCTCCCCCCAGTCACATAAAAACTGTAACCATTCTGACGATTATTGGCTAGTCTTTCTTACTAATTTTTATACCATTAGATGAAAGCTACATCTGTATTTAAGCATTCTATAATAGTTATTTGATACTTATATTATAAAGAGAATTTTCAAAAACAAATTACATTATTTCATTGCATTTCTCCACTTTTTTTAATGGAGTTAAATCAATCTGTGCAGTGAATAGCTCATATATCTGCCTCGCTTTGCCGCTATTCTCTCAACAAATGCATTGCATTCTTTCAACCATATGCTTAATCTTGTTCCATTGGCTTTGAAGAGTTCCACATTTGTTATTTTTTAAATGGGACTTTGGAAGTCAGACAGTGAAAAATATTATAATTCTTATATAGTGAACTATATTATATCATTAAATAAAGATGCTGTAGAAGGGAAATATTAAAAAAGTTAGACAGGCAGTAAGAATGAGAATATAAAACTGATGCGAATGAAGCTGAATCACATTTGCAACAACTATATGCTATATAGTATGCATCAGTGTAAGAAATTATCAGCTAAATATTGCATGAACTACCATATGACAGATGAAACATACACAGAACAGAAAATTTATCTTCAAGAAGCTTCCATTATTGAAGTAGAACGAAAACCAAAAGTATCCACATTTATGATGTCAACCAGTTTTCAGTACAAGATAGCAACCAGAGTTACCTTGGCACTAATCAAAATCCCATAATGATTAACATTCAAGAATATATATATATATATATATATATATATATAATTTTTCCTTGGCTAGGATTTGAATTACGTAGTTTGGACTTGTTCAGTCTAACAATACCAAGTCTTTCCAAATCCTAATATTTCTGAGTATTCATATAGGGCTCAATGAATACCATTTTCCATTTTTTGCTTCAAGAAAACATTGGTATAAAATATTCAAATGTACCAAAGAGACCGCATAGCATAATTGAATGAATGTGCTTCTCATCACGAGGGGTTAAGCCATAGCTCAATCAAGAAGTAATAGTGAATCTATTACACATTTCCTTCTAGGCACCTAATTAATAAAATTTTAGATCCTATTATGAATATTTAAGTGATACAAGCCATGCAACAAAAGAAAATTCAGATTTTAAAGCACACTTCATCAACATATATTTTTGTTCTAACTTTTCTGTTATTACATAAATATGTTGAAGCAGTGTAAAATATTGTTAGAGTAACATCTTATGTGCCAAAGAATTCCCACTGCATTTCCAAACTAAAACATTACTCAATAAAAAACAATTATACGTAGCCTTTTGCAAAAATATATCATGTGGTAGGAAAGTGCAGACATAAGCATGAATATGCATATACTACCTTTCATGTGGCTAAAATGTTTTTAAACTTATTTTGTTTCTAGCATCTTTTGAAATGGTATTCATTTTGAAACATGATTTATTGTAATAACAGCAATGAAATGTTCTTATGAAATGAAATGTTAATCTACAAATACTGCTTGATAGTCTTGGATATAAATTTGCTCAATATAACATGATACCATGTCCTACTAATATGAATTATGGTCATTTTCTGTCTTTCTAAATCATAACATATCTTGCACAGTGGTGGATAAAGAATTCTAAAAAATGGAACTTCATTAATAAAAATTTATTTGCTCATTTTATACTATTACACTACAACTATAGCACAGCAATATAATCTGAATTCAGATACCATATATCAGGAAGTAGATTACGTTTCCGTCTGTGTCCGCTAGGGGCGGGGCTAGCGCGGCCATCTTGGGGTCAGAGCGTTGCGCAGCTCAGTCTGCATCTAGCCGTGCTAGTGAGAGGTTCGTGCTGTGCTCCGTTCAGATACTGTGACGGTTTGAAATGTCTGCGTTAATTGAAAATCCCGCGAGCTGCGAGGTGCGCTCAGTAATAAGGTTTCTGACTGCAAAAAACTGTAAACCGATAGAAATCTATCGGCAGCTTCGTGAAGTGTATGGGGACAACATTATCACTGAAGGTGGAGTGCGTCAGTGGGTCATAAGATTTCAAAATGGCCGAACCAATGTTCACGACGAAGATCGAAGTGGGAGACCCAGCATAGTGACCGCCGAACTTCTCGAAAAAGTCGATGCTAAAGTCCGTGAAAATCGAAATTTCACAATAACGGAACTTTCTTTGAGTTTTCCACAAATTTCGCGAAGTTTGTTGCACGAAATCATCAGCGAAAAGCTTGGTTACCACAAGTTTTGTGCAAGATGGAAGGCAAGAAGAGGTAACGAAGTGGTTGAAGGCGCAGGCGGCCGAATTTTTCGACGAAGGAATTTCCAAGCTCGTACATCGCTACGATAAATGCCTTAATTTGTATGGTGACTATGTAGAAAAGTAGTATTTGAGTGTGGCTTTCATCTGTATATAATAAAATTTGTTTCCTATACTTTGTTTATTTTTTTATTCCAAAACGTAATCTACTTTCTGGATAGCCCTCGTATATATGTAATGAGGTTTTTCCATCAAATTCCATGACAAAAAAAATAAATATATAAGTATAACTTTAATTAAAAATTCATGCATGTGTAAAATGAAGAAAAATACAAATACTAATTAAAACTTAATTTTGCACTTTCAAATAGAAAAATTTTACGAGACAAGAAATTTATGTTCGTGTCCAACTTATGTTACTACTGTTGAAATTTATGTTATTGATCTTGTTTATTTAAGTTATTACTTCTCTATCAACAACTGCAATTAAATCATTAATATTTATTTTACTGCAAAGAATAAGTATACTATTTTGAAAAATTAAACTAATATTATTATTGCTTATAGTATTCAGAAAATTCATGATATTCTTATTTTTTTAATGAAATAATAACAATTTGTAGGGACGCAAATATTTTACAACAAAAAATTTTAAATATGAAAATCTTAGTATAAAATACATACAATATTCTATAAATTACCTCATGCCTGAATTGTGAAAATGACTTTGAAATTTTTTGGTGAGAAGAAATAAATGCCACATGATCACCACTCTCATCAGCTGCTACATCTACTAGTTGTCCAATAGAAGAACTTGATAGAAGTAAATCTCCTCTCATAAAATAATAACTATTCTTAATCTTTCTTTGTACATCACTAATACCTCTGAAATAAATACTAATAAATAAATAAAGTACATTTTCAAATCAAGCTAAAATCACTCACTAATAATAATAAAGAAAAACAAGCAATGGGGAGGAGAATTCAATGACAACATGCACTAAACAGTCAAGAATTAAAAGCTGTTTTTTAAGAAATAAGGAATTTGATTTGGTTTGTTTTGGTAAAAATACTTTTGTTTTGCTAACATAAAGTGTTTCATTTTGCTATTATCAGCGCCGGATTAGCATTTTTCCTAGGCGGGGCAAAAACTTAAAATTGCCACCCTTACTCATCTTCCTTTAAGTTTCTGTAACAACTTTTATTTTTTTTTAATAAACATAGAAATAGGTACTTTTCGAGATAAAATGTAAAATCCATTTTATATTAAGAAATTCTTTATGTGCCAGTTTTGTTCTAAAAGAAATATACATAACGAATGGTTTACTTTTTTTTACTTATGGCAAAGCATAAGAGAGCTACCTGCCTAAGATGGGAGATGTCTTCGCTGAGGTCTTTATAATATTTGGCTTCTTTAATATCATTTAAAATGCTATTGCGAACTGTTTCCGCCATTACATCAGTAATTTCATTTTGAATTATCTTTGTTAAATATGATACTTGTCCCTTCTTTAGGTATTCTAACTGGTACTTAAGAGCTCAGTTGCTGAATGTTTGGCTAGCAGAGTCATTAAATTTAAAAAAATTGCATTGACTAGGCTGAGGACACTTTGTGAGCAGACTGCCAGGGGTTACATCAGACCAAAGGAAAGAAAGATACAATACAGCATCCATACTCATCTGTAGGATCTTTCTCCATTTTTCTTTCTCTGTGTGAATTAATCTCTTAATGTCATGATCGATGCCTCAACACGATTTCATTTGTTGTAGTGGAATTTTCCACTTAATCATGCACTCTCTGTGGATTTCAGATATTTCGTGCTCAGTTAACCTTTCTGAAGCTTTTTTCCAATTAGTGAATCCTTACACGCTGATGTAACGGCAGTCGCATGTTTCTGGTAAATCTCACAGGGTGTACAAAAATTGCATTTTTAGTTTTAGAATACATCAGCCAAGATCTTTTGAGCCCTTCATCATTTGCTAATGCTGTGCCACAATGAAGATGTTAAATGTCTTCCATCACGTTCACTATACCTAAGGCCTACGTTTTCTGGATATTTTTCGGCTAATAATACAGCTTAACTGCTAAGAAAGATGACTGCTGATCGTTCATTTTTTCTGTGATTGGCCAACTACCTTTAAAGATTTTAAGTCTTCTTTTTGCTGCCCACACTCACCTAAATGAGAAAATACTTTATATCCTAATTTCATGTCTCTAGATGTTCGTTTGAGGTCTGTGAAGAAAGTTGTTCTCTCAGTTGCTGAAATGAAGTCTGAGGATGATAGATGAAGATTCTTCATCTTGTCATGCAAATTGCAAGAAATATCAATATCGTTCAGAATCTCGGCTCATCGGAAGTTGCGCAGGGTCTGACGGTTCGTCTTTTCCGCCATTTTTCATTTTAGCTGCTCCATTCTTCATTTTTAGCTTCATTTTTCATTTTTAGCTGCTCCATTTGTTTCCTGTGCTCGGTCCTATCTTTTGCTCTGGTTCTATATTCTGCCCCTGAGAGTTTTTCCTAGACCCTTTCATGATTTCTTGCATCCTAAATAATATACAGTATAACTTTCCTTAATAAAAAAGCTAAAAATTGACGTAATTACATTCAACAATATTAAGGCAGCCTGCGCAGACGCGCGCGCTAACTAAATGGCTGCTTCTCGCTAGTTATAGTGAGGAATATTAGAAGCAGGCATATTAAAAGAAAATTGGACAACAAAAAAAAAACCTTCCACAATTAAAAAACTAAAAAACTTTAAAAACTATAAAAATAATAAATCCATTTTTAAAACCTAGGTTGCTGACTGGCTGCAAAAAAATCAAAATGCCTTACTTCATTTCTGTTGTATATTCTCCACGTACATTAATTTGAACTATTTCATTGGTCCAAGGTTTATTTGTATTCGGTGTTAGGAAAGAGTTATAGCTTACAATGCTTCTCCATTTATTTCGAAAGAGGCGTTGGTATAAAAGCAAGGCTCCTCTATGCTATCATTCTGTTTTTCATTTGAATATTCCCACCAGTAGAGAGGACAACAGAGGGACTCTAGGCAACGAAGTTGAAGGGAAAGATATATAGATTCTTTGCTCTATGCGTCACTTACAGGGACCAAAGACAAAGACGTTTAGGGAGTACCTTCCTTTGGCTCTTTCAGTGACGCCTGGAGTCACTCTATTGTCCTCTCCCTGATTTTATCTTTAGAGTTGTGTTTGGCTGTACTTAGCTTACTTTTAAAACTGTTTGCTCATTAAAAGATTTCGAGTAATTAATTATAAATATTCTTAAAAGAGGTTTGAAACCTGTCTTTAAAACTACTAATGTTGCATCACAATTTGACAACATTACAAATAAAATTCAGCACCACTCTTGAATTTGCCGCCCTCAGAAGTTGCTGCCCGGGGCACAGACCCCGGCTTGGCTCCCCTAGATCTGAGACTGGTTATTATAGAACACCATATTACTTAAAATAAAGCTATTGGTAAATTGTCTGTTAAACTAAGAATGTAAGAGATGTAACTTCATTTTATGTAAATCATTATTTATCTTTAATAAATTCTTCTGGTAGAAATATTTATGTTCAAAATTGTGCTGTATTTTTATCTGGCTGTGATTTAAAGTGATATTATCAAAAGTATATTTTTATGTATATTTTGTAGTATGCATATTAACCCGGGAAGATGCGCGTGGGGTGTTTTGGCACGCTCAAAAAAATTGTTACGCTCAAAAAAATTCGCTGGCAATCTTCTCCTCTAATCTGAAATGATTAGGTCCATCAGTAGCTGCCTTCAAGGTCATGTTCTATACCTTTCGAGAGGAAATGGCAAATTACGAGCATTTATTGTTGTTTAAATAATAGTTTGGGGTGTGCCGACACCCCACGCGCGCTTTCGTGTTACTATTTTTTAGTGTGAGCCATGGCGTGTGCAAGTTGCTCTGTTCGGTCTTTTCCTCATTTGATGTATGATCAAGAAAGGAAAAGACTTCAAAAGTTATTAGAGGGGGTTTCGTCAGATGAAGATTATACAGTCAAAAGTCATTAATCCGGACTTGTCGGGACTTCGTTGATTCCGGCTTATCGATTTTTCCGGATTATAGATCATCAGTTTAAATCTGGTAAGATGGCATGCAGAAATTATAAAATTAAAAATATGAAACCATAATTTATGAAATAAAGAACAATTATGATCTAAATGGTATCAAAATTTACAAAAAGAAAAAGCTTAATATTTATTTGTTTACTTTATTAAACATTTCTTTCAATGTAAGTTGCTTCGTTTCATGTGATAATACTTTCTCTTTAATTCTATTAAACAGACATAATTCTTGTTTAGTTACAAAGTTCCGCTGTTCAAGTCCTATAATTGCTGTGTTGAGAATACAGACTAATTTGTCAATCGAAATGTTTTCGTTTTCAATAACCTATGGGTCACTTTCTTCACTATCGGAAGCGAATTATAATGACGAGGAACTTGATTTAAATCATATCAAAGACGGAGTACATCGAGATGAAATACTACATTTAGTAAGGAATTATAAGCCAAATAAAATAAAAACATCTGCCCTGAAGATAAGGATAGTGCTGACAGATCAATTTCCAATTCATTACTCGCCGCGGCGTCCCCCTCCCCCCCTCCGTCAAAGCGACGCATGTGCAGAAAGTTTGTAGCTTTGAGGTCCGGATTATGGGTGTCCGAATTAACGACTTTTGACTGCATAGAAGAAGAATTAGAAGATTCAGATAATGAAGACATATTTAGTGATCCTGAGTCTGAATCAGAAGAAGAGTGCGACTCTCCAGAAGACATTTCTTGTGATCAAACTATTTTATAGGAAAGGATAAAAATTAGCTCCAATAGGAGATTTATTTCAAACTTTTGTCAAGAATGGACAAAAATGATATCATATAAGGAAATACGTAACTTTGAACGAAAAGCTAGAACCTTTTCGAGGACGATGCTCCTTTCGGCAGTATACACCTAAGAAACCTGCAAGATATGGTATAAAGATATTTGCTGTGGTTGATTCTAGAACCTTCTATGCTTTCAACATGGAAATTTACGCATGTCAGCAGCCAGATGGGCCGTACAAGAAAGTCATCAGTTCTAGTGAAATAGCAAAGCGCATCCTAGCTCCATTATACAAATCTGGAAGAAACTTTTACTACAGACACTTGGTATACCAGTTATGAATTTTGGCCAATTTCTTACAGAAAATGGTTTGATGAACCCCCCCCCAAAAAGAAAAGAAAAATATATAATACAGGAGATGTTACATGTACTCAAGAGAAAAAGACAGAAAATCAAAAACTATATGCGGGAAGTGTAAAAAAACATATGTCAAGAGCATTGTGAAATGGATGCTTCATGTATATATTGCAAAATATCTAATGCTTCTTGGGCCTAATTAATTTCAATATTAATTATATAACTTGTTGCTCATGTAATAATTCTGCATAATTTGGATTATAATTGCATTCACAAATAAAAAAAAAAAACATTTCTCATAGAAATCAATTATTTCTAGACATCTGAAAAAAAAAATTATATATTTGTTATTAATTTTAAAATTAGCATTATTTTAAATAATAAATATTTCAATTAATATAAAATGCATTTTTCTACTGAATTGTAATAATATGTTTAATTTGTATGTCATTTAATTGCTTGGGGTGTGTTGACATCCTATGCTCATTCTCGTGTTAAATAATACAGCGCGCGTCCTCCCATGTTAACAGCTTAAATTATAATACAGTATGCAGAGAAATTTTTAATTAAATAAACACTAAAATATACTTATACGTAAACTGAAAATTACCATCAAGGATAGAACTTGGGACTAAATAAACAGTTAACATGAAATTATTTTATTTCTGGCAAGTGTATACAGAACTGACAATTTCAAAATATTATAGTAGATGCAAAACTGACTTTATCAAATTCAAAATCAATAACATAAGAAACTTAACCCTAAAAATGGAATGTCTGGCTTTTATCTATTGATTCACAGTGAAGATACACAAGAAACTCTAAAGTAATGAAATCATAAAAAAATAACACAAAATGATTATTAAATTTCCTGTTTTAACTTCCAGCTAGAATTTTACTGCTCTATAAATTATGGATATTTCCTGCTAAAAACTTAAATGAAGTACACAGATATTTCAGATTTATAAAATTAGCATGTGCTTAAAAAATTTTCAGCACATTAATAGACTTTCTTTCATTTCTGTACAAAATATTAAACAAGCATAATTTAACATAAAATAACTTTTTTAATTATCATAATAGGATATAATTCTGGATTATTTCCAAACAATAATAAAATAAAGATACAAGAAAATTAGAAGGTTATAGGAGGGGGAAAAAGTAACCACTTATTACTGATGGTGCCTCAGACACAAACTATGAATGCATATAAATTAAAAAGCATAAAAACTAACAGAGACAGGCAGATCTATTTTTATTTCAGTACCACCTAAAGTGGAATTTAAATCTAAATTGAATGATATCTTATTGATATTGCTATTTTACAGTATTTTTATGTCTTATTTTATTCTGATGAGTAATAACTTTTAGATTAAATAACCTTTTTTTTTTTTTTTTTTTACATTAAGCTAGCATGTTAATAGTTGATGGTACATTGTGCTAAAAGCTTAACAGGTTAATTAAATATTTGATAAATTTCAAAGGAAGAATTAAAAATGAATATTTCACTTGCTTTTCAAGTCATCCAATAGATATGTAAGATATTTGGTACTTAAAGTAGTCACAGCTTATGCCTTTAAGAGCCATTTAAAACTTACAGACTATAAATCTGATAATTAAGTTTTTATATATTTTAACAACAAATCATGGTGGTCACTTTAATAAGGAAATGTCAAACATTTTAAGATATCAGAAAATATAGTGACTTTACAATGCAACAAATACACTGTTGGCCATTAAAATTGCAATACCATGAAGGAAAGCAAATACAGTACAAAGTCCGAAATCCAGACTCATCGGGACTTCGGCGATTCCGGATTTGGGATTTTCCCGGATATTAGATCATCAGTTTAAATCTATGATGGCATGTAGAAATTATAAAATTAAAATATGAAATCGTGATTTATGAAATAATGAAGTATTTCATAAAAATATTAAAATTTACAAAAAAAAAAAAAAAAGCCTAATATTTATTTGCTTACCTTATTAAACATTTCTTTCAATATAAGTTGTTTAAATTGCTTCGTCATCTGTGCTAACACTTTCTCTTTAATTCTGTAGACACACATAATCTCTTGTTTAGTTACATTGTTGAAGTCCTGTAACTGTTGTTTCAAGAATTCCGACTAACTTGTCAATCGAAATTTTCAGTAACTTCTCTGTCACTTTCTTCACTATCTGTAGCGGTATTTTCTGGATCTAGAAAACCCATACAACAGATTTCGCCCTTCATTAATTGATTAATGATTGAGAAGTATTGTCATCACAATGAAAAACTTCTTTTATATAATCTTCATTTATTACCGCTTCTCCATATTTCTTTAAAAAATCCGTTAATTGGAAAATTTCACTTTTGTTTTGCGATATCCGAAAACCTTAAAAATTAGCGGCTATCATCATCAAATTTAGTTATCCTTCACTATACATATTTGGCTATGCATCATGAGTTGCTGACTAATGACAAGTTGTTCTGTTAAATTTTATCTTGCTTCAATCGCGCACTGAGACAATTAAGCCTGAATTGTATTAGTTATTTATTATAGTTGTGTATATTTCTTGCACATGCTTAAGACTTATCAGAGTTCTGAATAAACAAATTCCCACATATACATATACTTATTGAGGGCCAGCGCTAGATATCTTACCACCTGATGCAGTCTCTGTGAGTCCTAAATTCTGTGACTCGGTGCGGCCATACGAGCTTTGATGCTGGTTCTGAGTTTATGCAAATAATAAATCAGCTATTCTTAATTCAAATATCCCTAAATGTAATCTTTGGATCTATGAGTATCATCAACAAAATCTATTTTTAGCATATGGTATGAAATTTTTGGTAAATTTTTCCTCGTCAACATTTTTAGTGCATTTAACCTAAATCTGTAATCATCATCAAGCATAGTAACATAAAAGGTTACCATAGTCTTTTATTATTCAACTAGCAGCTATGCAGCCAGCCTTTGTCTGGCTTTTAAATGTACCAAAAAAATGCCTGAAGGACACACCAAACGTTAAATTTAAAAACTGCGCAGAATTTTACTCTGCAGAACAACTTCATAAAAAAAACCCACAAATTTACAATGAAATGAGCAATATCCCTTAGTACAAATATCAGTTATCCAAAAAAATAATTAACCAACTTCCAGTTGCCTACTCTCAACAAACGTCCAGTATCCAAGAGAAACATTAAATTTAAAACCTGCACAGCATTATCGCCCTCATTTTTCTAATCAGCAACAGTGCTGATCTTCAACAGTCGGCAATCCAGTATACCATTGAATGAAAAACTGTTGCCAGAACCACATTTCTAAAAGAATGAAACTATTCAAAATGATGCAATCAAATCAAAAAGATAAAATTTTTTAAAAAATCTGATTCGAATTTTTAAAAAATTGCTTCAAGGTGTACTGGCTCTTGTCTAGATGAACCTATATACCAAATTTCGTAGCCATGGGTCTATTAGCTTACGTGCAGCACGAACGAAAGACACACAGACTCTTTCAGATTACTAACATAAAAATTTGTTTAGGATTGCTCTATAGGTCATTACTCAAGTTGTCATGCTTTGATAAACATGCGGTGTTGAAAGGAAAGTATAATAAATAATGATTCGCCGGATTGGCATCAGATCAACGATGTATCTATGTGGAATGTTTTGGTTTGAGATGGGTGCCAAAAGCAGACATGCAGCAACGGAGCCAAATTACTAATTGTACAATTTACGCTAAAATGATTGTTTCTTCAATAACAAGGTATTTTATTTAGTGTCGAAGTGAAATTAAGAATTGGGACTCTCCAGATGTTTTATTATGCACGGAAGGGGGGAATCAAATGCACATGCATAAAGCTTACTAGAAAAACGTTGTTGGTGGTTTTGAGGTCCAGATTTTAGATCATTCCAGATTTCGGACTTTGTACTGTAAAAAAAGTATATTTAATGTAAGTACACAGTATGACATGACGACAAAATGTTTAAATTTATAAGCAGTTTGGGGTTTATAAGGGTGCGAAATTAGTAGAAACAGATGCCAACCCTGGCAGCTAAAACAGCCCTTATCCAGTTAAGCATGGAGTTGAACTGGGCTTGGATGACAGAACCAGGCAACTCATTTCATGCTGCTTCAAGTCTATGCCACACTTCATCAACCATATTAGCTGCAGAAGGGTGGCAGGCCAGTCTCTCAGCAACCTATGACCAAATGTTTTCTATGCGTCACAGATTTGGAGACCGTGCATGCCAGGACAGCAATCAAATATCCTGTGTATCGAGGAAAGTTAGGACAAGAGGTGCAACATGTGGTCTTGCATTATCTTGTTGGAAGATTGTGTTTGGCAGACCTCGAAAATAGGGCACAACCACTGTACCTAAGATGTAAGAAATGTACCGATTTGCATTCAAATTACCTTCGATCCTAACTAGAGATGTGTGTGTCATGTACCCAATGGCTGCCCAAACCATCTCACCAAGTGCAGAGCCCTTATGCCGATATGGAATGCAAGCAGGCAACATGTGGTCTTCTCGGAGACTCCAAACATGTATTTTTTTTTTCTTTTGGCCCATAGTCCACGCTGCTACAAACATCTAAGCACCATACAAGCAGATACTGGGTGTGCTGCAAACATGCCTATTTCTGACTAATGGTCCATGATGTGTTGTATGGTTTTGCAGGGATGACCTCACAATATGTCTGTCCTCTCGGGCATTATTCATGAGAGGGTGTTGAGATCCTGCATGCTATTCAGTATGACCCACAGCAACCCACTGATTCCATATTTGCATAATGGTGGTTAGATGTTGATCAGTGCAACAGGCGATATCACAGAACGATAATCCACAATTTCGATAGGTAACGATCCTGCATCTATCAAAGTCTGACAGTTGCCTTTCTTCTTATAATTCGAGGCATAACATGATATTCTGAGCAAACTCTGACCTTATAAAATGCTTTCCAAATGAGAAACCCACTACACAACTTTTCTTTTATGCAATGCTTCAGATGTTGCTTCTCCCCTTCTGCATCATCTAAATGTGCTGAAATACTAATCATTTGCATATCTCAACCTCTTCTTCCTTTCATGTGATTTTGACATTCCTCAGATCATTCCTTCCTTCCTGATGTTGCAATTTTAATGGCCAGCAGTGTATATTTAAAAATCACAAAGATAATTCTATCTTAATTTATTCTAAATGAAATGGATAGCATAAGTTCTCACCTACTAATATGAAAAGTCTGCAGTTACAAAATCAGACAGACATATTTTTGGAGTTAAAATTAATTAAAAAAAAATAATATATATTTTTTCAGATATCAAATGTTACTCTTTTTGCTATTGCTGGAGAATCATAATTATTTATATTCTTATAATGCAGAATGTTTCTAACTGGTAACTGATTTTTTTTAATTTTTTATTATTATTTAAATACAATTTGATCTTACAGCTAAGATCTAAATTAAAAGTTAACAAATTAAACTAGTAAACAAAATCTATTTAATGAAGTCAAATTGGAAATTATGAAATATTTAAAAATTGATAACACAAGGAAAAATTGACTGAACATTAAATTGTCAGGACATTTACAAATTCAGAATTAATTAATAAATTTGTTTGAGAAAAATAAGTAAGCATTTACCCCCAAAACAATATTAAACTGCTGTAAAATAACTGAAAGTAAGAAAACTGCTTTAACAGAGTGAATAAATCATAATGCATTATGACCTAAAATGTTTGCATGACTGTATAGAGACAAAAACTTGGCTCTATTAAATATAAATTTACTGTAAATTTTCTATAGCCTACATCCTGAAATTAATATCCAGTGCCAAAACTTACACATTTTGATATCTAAACATGTATTCCGAAATATTTTCAAGTATACAGTTGTATAACAGATGTTTTAATATTTGGTTATTATCCTGTATTATATATTTATTTTAAGCTGCATGTTAAGAAAATGTCCTCTCTCATAGAGGAAATTTAATTTTAAGTTGTTTCACATTCACATTAATCATTCACATCCAAAATTAGTATTATCTTTATTTGCTATCCCTCCATTTATTCCGAGCAGCTGAAACATATGACAAAACTGTCAGCATAACGGACAATGAAATAAGCTCAGGTATAAATGCTAAGAAACACACATTCATGTGTATCAGAAAAAATAAGGACAAACCTTGAGTGAAAGTATGAAGCATTCAATAAGTGAAATAATTTTCTCTTAAGATTAAAAAAAATCATACTCAGATCTAATACTGTATATTTCTTTAAAAAAAATTATAAATTAATTAAAATGGCGATTCATCATATTCATTTTAAAAATATTTTTTAACTTGATCTAAGCACATAAATATGCATTTATTCTGTATGTAAGGGTACTGTCAAACACCCGTTTGAAAGATAGGCGTGAACTTAATCATGCGCGGAGTAAATAACGCATATCCGCTGTTGTCATGGTAACAGGAAAAGGGTATAAAGCCTTTATATTCCGGACGCATGTTCCTAAAACGTACTCGCTGTACCTCCTGCTATGAGAGCTGCTTCGCTGCTATTGGTTAGAAGAATTTAGACGTAACATAGAGCTTTCGACGTCATTTGTTTTGTCACTTGGTAAAGCCAGTAAAGCTTCTCGTACTCCAGCCATACTTGTTCGGATCGGATGCGTATTTCCAAACCCTACCCCACTTTTCGAATTTTTGACGTCACGGAAATATCGACTAGTTTCACCTGGCAAAACGGCGTACCCCACTTTTGACTACTACGGCGCGCTTTCGAAAGAATTGTGTTGGCGAATAGAGTGTTTAGGTGGTAATTGTGAGATTTTCGCAATTTAAATTATTATGAGTGGATATTTACGCAAAATCTTTAGTGAATGGTTATTGTTTATCGCTGTAGTATATCTGAGGAAAGAGGAGAATAATTCACTGCTAATGTATACATTAACAGTATACTCGGCAATAAATGTGATGCATTCATCGCAAAATTCAGCGACGCCAGTAAAACAAACGAGAGTTGTTCGAAAAAACTTATCCACATCTGAAAGTCACTATAACAAAATTGTATGTGTGCCAACACACAGATAGATAATAATAATAATAAACACTTGAACACTTGCAGAAAACTTCAAATCAAGGAATAAGAATTGCAGTTCCTCTTGTGTGCTTAAAAACTACGAAAGCATTCTGCAGACTTTTATGCCAAAATCAAAGTTGACAAATATATTAATAAATTTTAATGTTTCTTTTAGTGTATATATTTCAAAAGTATTAAAATAACTTGTACAGTTGTTTAATTATGCTTAAAACAGCAATAAAGTTCATTTAATAAAGATATACAAGGAACTTCATAATTATCAAAAATATTTCATTGCTTTGGTGAAAAACTGAAATTTACTAGATTACTTAACTTTTATAACATTAAATTATGTTCATAACTGTAGCATTATGCTCTGTTTTTAAAAAAGCTTAACATACTTTATTCGTTTGTTACTATATTAAAATATTTTCTGATTTATTTACTAAATGTGTAATCAATTATCAGGATTACTAAATGTGTTAAGAATTTCCATACATGCTTGTGCAGTGTGATTGCATGTTTGTGTAATGAACTTTGATTTTCATGTACAAAAAAGAAATACAATCTCCGAATTACTTTTTCGTTTTCCAGTTCCTGTGTTTAGCTGTAAAAGTAAATTCACTTCAAGTATGTGTCTATGCAATTTTGACGATGTAAATACTGAAATGATTGTACAGTAAAAACTCAACTAAAAAAATATCTGGAAAGCTCTTGAAATTTTGGATAGTCATATAAAAAATGAAATCTGTAATAAGCTGAATCTACTAGTCTGAACTCATAAAAACAGTTCATCTTATTTGTTCAACTTGACTATTAATATGCACAATTTTGAAAAAATGTATGCTGATGATCTTTGATTGATAACGAGTGATTTTTAAATGGTTGTTATGTGAATTAAGACTGCATGTTGAGACATTAAATATGAATAGTAATCTGAAAATTTGTAGTAGTAGTACTTTGGTACTTTTTCCGTTTTGCCGGCGCAAGCGATAAAGTCGCTAATAATGGTGCAACCGATGCCAACGGAATATTCTCGCTGGTAACCTTTTCGCCTCATTTCGAAACATCGCGCTTTTTTATCAGTTGATTGTTCTTCATACTCATATATTACATAGAATTTTATCAGATAGTTCAGGGTCAGCCATTTCGGTAATATCAAAGGAGCAATCACAGCGCTTACCGAGCCGATATACGAGGGCTATCCAGAAAGTAGATTACGTTTTGGAATAAAAAAATAAACAAAGTATAGGAAACAAATTTTATTATATACAGATGAAAGCCACACTCAAATACTACTTTTCTACATAGTCACCATACAAATTAAGGCATTTATCGTAGCGATGTACGAGCTTGGAAATTCCTTCGTCGAAAAATTCGGCCGCCTGCGCCTTCAACCACTTCGTTACCTCTTCTTGCCTTCCATCTTGCACAAAAACTTGTGGTAACCAAGCTTTTCGCTGATGATTTCGTGCAACAAACTTCGCGAAATTTGTGGAAAAACTCAAAGAAAGTTCCGTTATTGTGAAATTTCGATTTTCACGGACTTTAGCATCGACTTTTTCGAGAAGTTCGGCGGTCACTATGCTGGGTCTCCCACTTCGATCTTCGTCGTGAACATTGGTTCGGCCATTTTGAAATCTTATGACCCACTGACGCACTCCACCTTCAGTGATAATGTTGTCCCCATACACTTCACGAAGCTGCCGATAGATTTCTATCGGTTTACAGTTTTTTGCAGTCAGAAACCTTATTACTGAGCGCACCTCGCAGCTCGCGGGATTTTCAATTAACGCAGACATTTCAAACCGTCACAGTATCTGAACGGAGCACAGCACGAACCTCTCACTAGCACGGCTAGATGCAGACTGAGCTGCGCAACGCTCTGACCCCAAGATGGCCGCGCTAGCCCCGCCCCTAGCGGACACAGACGGAAACGTAATCTACTTCCTGGATGGCCCTCGTAGAAAAAAGTCAATTTCACAACAAAAGCAGCGAAGTAAGCACTGCATTTACATATTTGAGTAGTTCGATGAATTAATATTTCGCATTAAATTTTTCCAAATAAATTCGAATTATGTAGAATACAGAGCTAGATTTTGTAGAGAGTAGTTTACATGAGATGAGATCACTTGGGGTCACGTGATATGAACCGGCGAATCAGGATGCTGAACCATGAAAGCATAGTAAATTTTTAAATTAATGTCTTTTTACAAATTTATTGTCTTTATTTATCGGTTTTTTATAAAATTTTAAGCGATATTAAAATGTTTATGCCTTTAAAAAAAGAATTCTTAAAACTAACATTTTTTTAAAATATTTTTTATGTGTATACTGTATGTTGTTCGCCAATAAAGTCTGCTTGACGAGATCTGCGCCGGCGAAACGGAAAAGTACCGTAACGGTATATCCAACAATCTCTGCCTAATAACTTCCATATTTTAAGCAATTAAAATATATATTTTTAACCACTTGTTATTAATTTTATAAAGTACATTCTATAATTTAAATTTTATTTACTTTTATCTATTTTAATGTTTGCCATTATAAATTTTATACTACTTTTTTAAGATTTCATAGTTGCTAATTAAACTTCCTTTACAATTTATTTAGGTATTTTATACATACATTTATATTTTATGTAAGAAAGGGATTTATGTGCAATAGATATACAGTGAAAATCATTTAACACAAAACTGAGGGGACTGAAATATTTTTTCATGTTAAAGAATATTAATATATATATATATATATATATATATATGGTCAACAAAATTAAGCTTATTAGAGTACATTTTATTTACATAGATATGTGTATATGCATGTATTTAATAAAAATCAATGAAACAAAAACATCCACAAGAACTTGATAGAATTTAATACAAAATTTTCAAGTTTTTTGAAAAACAAAACATTTATTGAGTTTCGGGAAAATAATCTGATATTTTTCTTTGCATTGTCTTTTTTTAGCATCTAATTGTTCAATGTCAAACATTTTGTTATTCATTTCACCATTGGAATGTGTGTCTGAATAACTGTCCATACTTTTTATGATGTTCCTCATTTCGGATGACGTGGGAACAGTTATTTTTGCATTATTCATTTTATTTTCATCACCAGAATCTGCATCAATGATATTTTTTTAGCTTTGAACAAACTCCAAAATAACTTTGTCAGCCATAATTGGGGCTGTACACACATTATCATAAATTACTGCAACGAATTCTATAAATTTTTAAATAGTACCATTGTTACTATAATGATTTGAAGAATAATAAATTGATAAATTTTTAAATAGTACCATTGTTACTATAATGATTTGAAGAATAATAAATTGTAAAAATTTAAATTATAAATCATTAATACAGAAACTTTCTCAAACGTTTTATTAAGTGTCAGCTCAGTTTCACTATCCTATTTCTTTATTTTTTTTTGGCACCAAAGAATCTGATACTTTTGAGAATTGTGTGTAATGAAAATAATTTCCATTCATCCTTGGAGTTGCTGAATTCCATGCAGTGCAACAAATGAGCCAAACTCACTAATTTTTACTCGCACTGCCATGTACTCGTCACCGAATTCCAAAGCTAACTGATGAGAGATCAGATTTTTGTGTGGCGTTTGTAGAGGTGGAAGGCGAAAGTAGCGTAGATAAACAA